CGTGGCCGTGGCCTCTGAACAATGTTTGGCGTGGAGCTTGATTGATGCTGATGTCCCCTGCGAAGTGGGTGATGTTGAAGTGCCGAGCCCACCCTCAAGCGCAGCAGTGAAGGTGACTGAAATTAAAGTTAGACCAAACGAGCTAGGAGTGGATCCGAGCTCAAACAAACATGGCCAATCAAACCAACAGGGTCAACAAGATGGAACCAGAGGGTTTCCGATTGACAGCACTTTTGTTGTTTCCTAAATTCAGTGGTGAAACGCTTGTACCTGCCAGGGCGCCCCTCAATCTACTCAGCACGAGGCGCGGTTGGTCGTGAAAGCTGGGCATCCCCACCATCCAGCTCACTCACTGAGGGCCCTCTGAGCTGCGAGCTAGGTGAAAAGCACCTGGGGCAAGCACTACTGCAAGCGACCCCAAACACTATTATTGAACTACGCTAAACACTTTGGTTTGTGCGACCTGCGTTAGCCAAGTGAGAGTGCAGCTTAATCCATCAGACTGTCCCTGTGGGGTCTGCGGCACGGCTGTGAGACAGCTAGACTCTGCAGAGAGAGAGAGGGAGAGTGAGAGAGAGAGAGAGACAGAGTGAGAGAGCGAGAGAGAGAGAGAGAGAGTCCAATACATTCAAAAACGTCAACTCAATAAGTTCTCGGGAACAAATGCCTTGTCCTTCGCAGGGGCCCAGCTCAGAGCAGCCCTACACCTCCAGGGCAGCTGCGTGGGGTGCCGCAGCAGGCGAGGAAGCTCCTGCTGAAGCCCCGTGCCTTGGGACGTGAGGAGAAGGGGCAAGTGCCGCAGTGATGTGGATATCATAGGCTCCGCAGTGTTGTGGAATACCATAGGTCATACGACCATCAGACTATGGCATCCTTTGACATCAAACTATATGACATCCTATTGTTTTATTTGAGGTCATCAAATTTATTGAGTGGGCATGATCTTTTATCAATGACTTAAGGATGTGGCACTTGGTGAACCTGACATGACCTGACTGGCTTGTCCAAGAAACACGCATGCGGTGCGCAACTGGCTAATGGATGCACACGGCGTGTATATATTTCTGTTTGAGACCAGTTGACGCCGAAATTCCTCTCAGAAAGCCGAGGCCCGGTGCTGGCGGTGAGGGGCCAGAAGATGGCCCCATGCCTGCCGATAGCACCGAGCTGCCGGAAGACGGCACCGACCCCACCACGACCATGGCCGACAAAGGCACTGAGGAGTCCTGGCGCACGGGCACGGCGCCGGTGCGTGGTGCGGGCACCGGCACCACCGCAGCTCACCCCGACGAGCCGCCCACCGACACGGTCGCTGACCGCACGTCGGGCGCCTCGGCGGCGCCGGCGCTGGCGGAGGGCGGTGTGGCGCCGGAGGATGTGCGCAGTGATGGGGATTCTTTGCACACCGCTGGCGCTGCCCAGCGGCACGTAGTGGAGAGAGGGAACGGGAAGCACGAGTTGGATTGGGTGACAGACTGGTGCCAGAGAACTGCATGGACAAAGAAACAAGCGTGCGTTGAAATGCGGACTGCTGTGGCTGCTGTCCAGACACCTTGTGCCAAGGACAAAGAGAAGAAAGTAGAGTTTGCCGAGGACTCTGAACGATGTTCCTCAAGATTCGGACATCTCAAGGTGGAGGTTCACACTCCCTCCAATCATGAATCAAAGTGGAACATAGGCAACCCAGGCATCACTGTTCAGAACAAGGGACCAATAGCAGCCGTCATGGTGTGAGTAACCTGTTTAGTATCGCCTCACCCAACTCGGCTGCGATCAGGAGCCTGCTGGTGTGTCCCAGCAGCACGAGTTCGCGTGTCCACGAAGTCCGCACGTGCGCATTTCGAAGGAGGTCAGTCGCCTTCGGCGACACGAGACATAAAAAAAAGAACTCCCACGGTGGCCCTTCAAATGTTCAAACATGTGTTCCCTATGGGTCCCGGCCCCAAAACCACCTGTGAGGGACAAAGCACCACCTGCCCAATGCAGCCTGACCGAGTGACTTCTGGTGTTTACTCAGATCAGAAGGTCTACTTAGGCTGTTAGGCCACAAAATGAATCTATCATTAATCTATTTCTCTCTCTCTCTCTCTATAACACCTTTTCAATTTTCTCACCTTTGAAAAGAGTAGTAGTTGGAGCCCTAGGGCTAGGTCCTCGGCTAGGTAAGCCCTCGCAATTTTTCCCCAAAGGCCAACTTTGTGGGACCTCTTCAGAACTCCTTTTGAGATATGAAATGGCTGAGATGACATTCTGTTGGTCACACTTCCCCCCCTTTTTGGGGGGCATCATTGGTATATGTCTGGCTGTTGCCCAGAGCTGGCCTTAACGGGTTTTGTGTGCTCAGCCCTTTACCGAGGCCGGCGAGACAAGCGGAGCTGCAGCTGAGGACAGCCGGGATAAAGGTCGGTATGAGCAGGTCTGAAATGGTCCAAAGAAACAGCAGCACAACAAGTTTCCTCTGCGTGGATGGGAAGATGAGCGCAATTTCTATCAGTTTGAGGATGCTATGTTCCCATTGGGGTGTATGAGTTTTTTCATCTCGGCTTACCCTCAACCTGACGTTTCACCCTCAGCTGGTTTGCATCAGTTGTCATGGCTTTCCTCTTGCGGTGAGGAGCCGGCGGCAAGTCCTGCGCCCTGGCATTGTCCATGTGATGCCCACCAATGAAAGACAGACAAATCAATGATACCCCGCAGGCCGACCGACCCCAGCAGCCCAAGTTGGATCCGTTTGATGCGAGACGCCATGCAGGTGTTTCTTTTTGAGACTCTTCCTCGCGGAACCCGTGGAGTGACCGAAGCGTGTTTCCAGGTTAGTTTTGACACATATTGACACCATTTTTCTGAGCAGTTTTTTTGTTGACATCATAGACCATCGAAGAAGATATGGACCATCTTGACACCATGTCTATGGCTGACATCATCTCATCATCTCATCACGGGGACGGCAAGACCGATGACATGTCGACCTCGTCGACTGGCTTGGATTTCGATTGGCTTGGCTCCAAAAGTTGTTGGATCGCAGATGCATATCAAAGAGAGATGGTCAATGTCCAAGATGTTTGCAACCTAAGAATGCAGTTGGTTGTCAAAGTAGCCCTCTGTCAAGTAAGATGGGTTCATCGGTTGGGTCATTAAAACATATACCATTTATCATCATTTATCCATTGTTCTGTCCAAAGAGGTCAAAGAACCTGAAGAAGGTTCGTCACGGTCGGATTTCCTCCATGTTCCTACGAGCAAGCTTTTTTTTCAGAAGGACACCTCGGATTGGCACATGAATTGCTCGGACAGCAGTGGACAGCAGAATTCACAGCTTCCCTTGCAGGATCTCAAGATCGGTGTTGTTGGAGGACGGTCAAGCTTTTAGCCAAACATGGTCCAAGAAGTTGGCCACACTGCAGCCCCAACCTTGGGCCCTCGAACCTCCAAGCCTTGGTCATGGAGTGGCCACGTTCCTCACGATCCAAAGAGCTGGTCCACCCCATTCCACTCATGTCCGCTCGGGAAATCCTGGTAGTCCTTTAAATGGTTTGGCCTGACATACAGTAGCCTGGCTGTCTTGCCTAGCCTGGCTCTGCCCAAGGATGCTGGAGGGCCGGGGCCTTGGTCTTGGTGGGGTTGTGGCCAGGGTCTCGGGCTCATGGATCTCATAGGCGTGGGTTTTCTGGAGAAGTTTGGCCACCGAGTTTGCCACCAACGATCGAAGATCTTCAAAGAGACGAACCGTGAATGGGACCACCGGGTGTGCTGATTCGTTCGTGAGAGCGCAGCAGAACCAGTGACGGCGTGGCGATGTTCTCAAAGCAGCCACATGAGCAACCCCCAAACCGGGCAATGATCAGTTTATATAGTAAAGAGCGGTCTTGAGTTTTAGGACTTTGGCTAACTCCCTCAGCGATTGGATTGAATCACGCCCTTTGCTGTACAAGACGTTCTGGCAGACGCTCACATGGATTGAGCACCAAGGACCAAAGATGAAAAGGAGCTTCTCGGTGGCAGTGCTATTTGATGACATGCTGACACTGTGGGAAGCCTGTTGCAAGTGATAGTCTTGGGGTTCTATAGGCCGGTGACGTAGTTTGGAACAACAGCCTCCATGAGGATTAGTCGAAGCAGACCCGGGACAAAGCAGACTGTTCAAACTTGGTCCTGCACCTCCACCGACCTTCCCAGCCATCCACATGGCTTCCACTCCCAGGCAACCACTTGGCAGCAGGGCAAACACATCGACAACACGTCCAAATGCAAACGAGAACAATACATTTCAAGACATCTCCCATCTTGAGTCCAACTACTATGTCCGACGATACGTGGACCTCTCTCGCACCTCAGGGAGGAGAAGGCTGCTGCGCCGGCGCCAGCAGCTGCGCCGGCAGGTCCAAAGACAAAGAGTTGTGTGTGTCAGTAGGTTCTCACCTCACTCCTGTCCACGGAAGCCTGTTCACAAGACTTTCGCAAAACACTCAATTACTGTGTACTAAATTCATGTTTATTGGTTGAGTTGATGCTCCTTCATACACTAGGTGGGCAGATGGACAATCAATGGCTTGTCTCCAAGTGGGAGACTCGCCAACACAACGCTAGGGAAACTGCAACCCATAGGCTCCGGTGCTTCCCTTGGTGGTGCTTCCCGGGAGAATCCTGGGATTGTGGCGAGGGAAAGGCGTCACCTCCACGGCCGACCAAACGATTTTGGAAATGCCAGCGCCCTGTACATAGCAAAAGAGCCGCTTAGACGGCCGCCTTAGGCGGCCGTCAGATGGCCTGCCATGTCCTAACCGAAAGACACGAGGTGGATGCCACAGAAGTCACAGACGTGTGATGCCAAAGAGACTGGCGTGGACGCTGACCATATTGGATACTATATACATGTTCATCCTTGGATATTCTATAGAGCCCCGCCCAAGTTGAAATGGGGTCCTTTGGGAATGACTCACATGGAACTGAATCCAGCTTCGGCCTCCTCGTCGCATGGAACGAACACCAGTGGCACTGAGGCTGGCCATGGCGTGTGTCACCACGCAGCAGGTGGTGGACGTATGCACTCGGGGGCCACAGCAGATCTTGAATCAGTGCAGCTCCTAGTGCTTTCAATGCCTTTCTTTTCCCCAGAGGCGGGCAGGTGTTGTGTGGCCCTATCGTGCTGATGTTCTGCCAAGCCATGGATGTTGGGGTTTTGATTTGCATCACTGTGCCACACTTGACCGAGCGTGACCGCTGAGGTTCCGGAAGTATTCCTACTTGCTGAAGGAAAAGGTGGAAGGTGTGGGAAGTTAGATATTCCGGTGCCACCTATGACATATGAGATGAGTGACATATATCGCTCAGGAATTTGCATGAGGCTTTGGATCATTTTGCGTAGTTGTGTAATGTTATGCAGCTATGCATGTACAATACTGGGTGCTTTCTCACTACAGAGATGGCCAAGAAGTGGCTGACGCGACGACCAGTGGCATGCTTGGAGGATCCAGAATCCAGACAGATCCAGATACTCAAAGAAACATTTTATTTGCCTTCACTATCCTCCACTACTCCACTACAACGGCACATGGTTCCTTTTCAGCCTACAGACATCCCCATTCACCCAGGTGCTTAGGCTCATCACATGGACTGCAGCTTCTCTTAAGGGTGTTCAATGTAGACCAGTGCCTAGTTACTCTAGTCTAGTCTGGACTCAAGACAGTTTAGACTCCAGACCAGTTTTGACCCCTGCAAGCCGCGGCCTGGCTCTGAATGCGCCAGATCTGGACCCCACTGACATTGATGGGTGCAGAGAACGTTCGGGGCCTTGCGCAGCCACAAGTTCAGCGGTCAAAAGGTGGCGGATTTCTGCTTGTCCTAGGTACATCTAGGTACCATCAAGTGTTTTTGACACCCGGAATTCCACATATCACCAACAGCCAACTTTGATTTGAGATTTTGAGTTGCTATCCGGCATCCCATTCATCACATTCTGAGACACTTATTTGGCCGCCGATCCAGGTTGTTCGGAATGACTGCTGCCCAAGCTCAGGCATTCAAGCCTACAGACAAGCAAAGTACGAAGTGCAAGTGCTGTCCGAGAGCCTTGTGGACCCGCTTTTTTTTGCCGATCAAATCGAGGCATTGCATAGATCACGGTACTATAAGGGATTTCTTGAATCTTTAGGCACGAGACATTGTCATGGCATCGTCATGGACTTTTTGGTGCTTTTGATTCTTTTTGTCTCTTCTCAGTGGGTTTGGATGCAACACCTGTCATATAAACAAAGATGGAAACTGCCAGGTGTCGAAGATGAATTCCCTTGTGAGAGCTAGTCTACCAGTTTCTGTTTCTATTCTGTGGTCGTAGCCATGTGGAGGACTTCCCTCTCTTTCGGCTTCGATGCTCTTCGATGACCAATTTGTTGGCTGAAAAGGCCTGGCTGATCTTGGATTTGTCAGTTTTGGATCGAGTCATTGCCTCTTCAAGGAGCACACCATCATCATCATCATCATCATCGTCATCATCATCATCATCATCAGCCATCCATAGCCATCCAACGACGACATTCCATTTCCAGCTGAGAAGCAGATTGGGTCGGGAGATGCTTCCCACATCCCATCATGGTGGGTTTGTGTTCGTCGCGCGAGTTTGCCACCCAAACTCTATAAACCCAAAATCCAGAAAAGCATTGTAGTCTTGAGGATCTTGAGGCTTCCGGGGTCGGAACATCAGCTTGTGGCTTTTCGTTTCAAGCCCTGATTGAAACGTTGTACTTTTCTCTATTTCTTGATGTCTTTTGTGTTAAGCCCTACGCCTTCCGCGGTTATGATTGTGTATGTCAATGCACGCAGTTGCTAGCTGCTACATAAGCAGTACTAATCTCCTGTTGATTGATTGCATTCAGCCCCCGAGGCGGAGAAGCTGGCCCAGGAGTGCCTTCGTTCCGACCTCAGTAAGTCAGTCTTCCGCCGGTGCGCGGTGCGGCCACCTGAAGGGCCCCAAGGTAGTCCCCAGGTGCCCGGACTTGTCCCACATAGTTCCGGCATCACCACATGCTTTCCCTAACGCCAAATGTATTTGATCGTACTTGCAACTTGCAACCTCCGAAGGTCAACTTGTACGTACAACCCTACTACGGGCTTGCCCTGGGCCTGGAGGATTGCAAGAAATTCCGACTTTTAACCTGCTTTTCCAGGTGGGGCACCCAGGTGGTTTTGGAGAATTCCGACTTCAACAAATCTTTGGAGGTGCCATGGCTGCCCAGCGCTCTGAGGCCAATGCAGCCAGTGCATCGAAGAAAGAGCGGATGAGATCCTCAACGAATGGGCCACAACCTGAGACACGGCATGTCCCGACCGAGCCGCAGAATTTGCCAAAGGCCAAAGGATGCCATGTACACTACCACTTCAACCAGACCTCACGTAAACTTTAACATGAAGTGTTTGGACTTCAGAGTTTGCGTTTCGGAAGTGGCTTGGGGCGCTCCGCCACACTTCGCCGAGGACTCCACCCACAAGCGGATTCTTTCAAGCCCTGAGTCGGAGAAAGACATGGTGCGAGCCGTCGTTAGACGATAAGAGACCGGGCGACTCCTCAGACGGAAGTGGATTGGTATGGGAACATGCCGGGAGAGTCGGGTTTGCAGCTATGACGGGAGGGTAGAGCATAGGCTTTGCCCTGTATGTCTTATGTTGGATGCTTCATAGTTGTGACAGGCTCGCACAGGGTTCCTCCGGCTCTTATTTTATCGTTCATGACCACGACCATGGAGCCATCAGAATGTAGACATAGATATAGTTGTATGATATATATACATATAGATACATAATATATACTGTATCATATGTTTCTCTCTCTCACACACACATATATATATATACATATTATATATGGTATCTAGATTATATATATGCCTACATTACATGTTCCACACGTGTCCAGCATCCAATTTTCCATGCGTGTATCACACGTGGAGTTCTCCAGGCCGACTTGAGGGAGTTCATGGAGGTGGTGCAGAAAAAGGTGGTGAAACCCTTGATGGACTCTTGGTGAGCTGTGAAGGGTGAAAACTCCCTGGCAAGAACTCCAGCGGGCTTCTTCTCACGTGGAAGAGCCTGACCCCAACAGTTTTCATTCACCCTCTTGTGAACATGCTCATCCCCGATGCCCTCATGATCCTGAAGTGCTTTTGACTTCAAGCGTTGCATTCGATGCTGCTTATCTCCAAGCAAAAAACATCCATGTTCCAAATCCATCCAAATCCTAATTGAGGGTGATCCCTTCACCGCCAAGCGAATCTCAGGAACGCACGCGGGTGGTGCATCAGCAAATGAACATGGTCGAAGATTTCAATCACGATGTGCCTCACCCAGTGAGATAACATAAGCACACGTGAATAACAGAAAGGACACAATGACAACACAGGTCTTGGGCGTTCGATAGAGTATTATAGAGTAAATATAGCTCTATAGCATTCTGTAGCTGTGATATTTCAAGTTCTTTTTCTGTCCTCTTCGTGTTGCATTTGTTGCATCTCACTTCACATCTCGCTTCACCGACTCCGCCGCAACGCCGGCGACCGGTTGGTCCAAATGACCTCAGATTGGGGGGCGAAGTCGTGGAGAAAGCCTTTCGCTCGCAGGGGCGCTTAGATGTCCATGGGGCACTTAAGACTTATATAGACCGTTTTTGGTGAGCTCGTCAGAAGATCAGATGACCCAGGGACCCAGGGCGTCGCATTTTTTGGGGGAAACCAGTTTGCAATAGTTTGTGCTGTTGCCTGTTGCCTGTTGCCTGTTGCCTGTTGCCTGTTGCCTGTTGCCGCCGCTGCCGCTGCCGCCGCCGCTGGTGGTGGTGGTGGTGGTGGTGTTGGTGTTGGTGTTGGTGTTGTTGTTGTTGTTGTTGTTGTTGTTGTTGTTTTCCCCTTTGATGCGGTCCCAGACCACGTAGCAGTGTAGCGCCCCCCCAGGTTTGAGTGGCCCTTCCAGATCAACATGGATGTCATGGAGCCTGGAGCCTAGAAGAACGTCGTTTGAATGGAGCTTGGAGCTCCTGGTTCTGGGGCTTCGTGGGAGCAAGATGGAGCACGCATTCCCTAGATTCCGAAAAAGGTCCAAAAAGGAGCCCCAAAAATGCCGTGGAATCCATGAGATAATGACGTGACATATCCATAGTTGCATGGAGGCCTGGGAGTCCCGGGCCACTGCGATCTACTTGGCTAAAGATCGTCAACGAAGAGAAAGAGAGAGAGAGAGAGACTTCAAGAGACTTGGGCGTTCGACCCGGCATGCGCACGCGAGATATCGTGGTGATGGTCGTGAATTCATGTGCGGGTCATCGATGTTATCAGGCTTTATCCATTTGAGAGTCTCAGATGGTATTGTGGCCGTTGGCTTATTTTGCCAACTGGAGTGTGCGAAACTGGAGTCCGTCGGTCCGTTTCAGACCCCCGAGCCGCCCCGGATCTTGGGTGCGACCATCCCTCCTGCCCCGGGCAGTGTGACCTCATCTGTTCTTTCGCAGGGCAGACCGACAGCTCAACAAGGACAAGATTGCTTTCATGGCAGGGACCCCAGATGGACTGGCCAAGTCGTGGGCCGGACTGCTCCCTTTCCTTCGAAAGTTCGGTTTCACCTTTGACATTCGTGAAACCGCTAAGCTAAACTTCGAGGGCGTTTCTTGTTTCATTCGGTTTTGTGATCATTTTTCCTGGGTAAACATTGGATGGAGAGTCGTGGGTCTCATTGACCGAGCAATGCAGCTGATTGATAAGACACCCTTTATGTGATGGAACCATCCTGGAAGTGAATCTTCTCTGGTTTTCGAGTTCGGGGCTTGGCAAGACTAGTCACCAGAGAAGGAACATCGGGCAAATCATACGTATCATTCATATCAATATCATATCCTGCCTCTCCTCTATATGTTTGATGAATTGTTTATGCTAATGCGCCAAGCTGAGGAACAGCTGACGCGTGAAGTGGAAGAATATCAGGTGGACTTCCAGAAATACCAAGCAGTCCATGCCTTAGTGGCTTCGCATTTGCTGCCAGAGCTTCTCAAGCGCCGAGCGAACACCGCTGAGCATCTCGTGTGTCTCAACCAATGCTGTTGTAGCTACCCGCTACCCATGCAGGGAATACTTCACGCTACTTCAAAGCCTGTCATCCAGCCCCAGTCACAATCACCTGAAATCTCCAAACCTCTAGCCACCTTTTTCGCCCCAGGGCATCCAAGTATTTTCATGCTACTTCAAACCGCACCCCCCCTTTGCCTTCCAAAACCGAAAAAACAAAACATGTTTCCTCTTTTTGAGGAGTTGGAATGGGTGAAGAGTTTGGAGTCCTATGCCGTGGCTGGGCAAGTGGCGCAACGCGTTCAGACCCTCCAGGAGCGCGGCGTGGACCGACCGAAGCGTGAAGCGAGTCGTTCCGCCGGTCGTGCGTTGCGAGGAGCGTTTTGATCCCTAGTGAGGAAGGGAGCAAGTTCCAAACTCTTGGATTCAAGGGAGGAAGCGAGAGGCTCATTTTTTTGGGACATGTTGTAGGCGACATCTCACAGTTGCCAGATCTCACACTGCGAGGACAACCTCGTACGTGCGACTGATCGCGCCGGTGCCCGAGCGGCCGATGGTGTCATTGATGAGATTGATATGCTGCAGCGGCGCCTGAAGATCTGTGGGAACAAGAAGCTAGTAGTTTGGAAGCCATTGCTATCACTGTAATTAGGTTGGAGGCCATCGCTACTAGTAACAAGAAGCTAGTAGTAGATCTATGTTTGTTTTTAAAAGGATTGACCGATTGACCCATGTCGACACATATTAGACCGCATGAATTTGTGACGTGTGAGCACTCATTCCTCTCAACTTTCAGAGCTGTCTTTGACTTAGATAGTGACACTATTTCGATTGGGTTCCTACAATCAGTAGGGATCCAAGAGATCACAGTCTGAGTCTATGAGGTCAAGTCCTTCTCTGACCGTGAGAAGTTGTTCCAGATTGATCAGAAGGATTATTCAGAGCTTGAGGTCCTTGCTGGGGAATTGAATTGCGTGGGGCAGCTTGTCGCGTGAGCCCTCTTTTGGGTTGAAGTTGGAACATAATGGTCAATTCGGACTAGAGACACATCTCAACACTTAAAGCTACATTCAAGTCTTTGCTGGCAGACCGTCTTGGGATTTCAGCCTCGCTGAAGGTGCTTGCATCGTGGTGCTTTAACCACACCCCAATCTGAATTGATCCCAGAGGCATTGGAATTCGGTGGTTAGCCCAAACTTTCAGAGCTCGATTGTTCATAGCAATTGGCGCTGCAATGTTGGCGCACATTTTTGCGCCTGCAGCATCCAATGTGTTTGTTCTTCGTTGATGCTTAATGGTTGTCGGTTCGGCTTGGTTGGTTTGATTGTTTTCTTGGTTGGTTGGCCGGCACCCACACTTGGTACGAAGTTCACCTCCCCCGAAGCCAGGGTCGTGGGGCATCTCCCCGAAATCTTTGGCATTCAACTGTGGATGGACCAGCCCCACTACACATGTGCGGAGCATGTGTAGGTGGTGCAAGACGAGTACAAGCCTTACTTCGACTTGTGGTCAATGGCCATTGACTACAATGGGTCCAGACCTCAGAGACTGGAGTCGAGATGGGACATATCCACGATATCACGAGATCCACCTACCAGGACACTTAGGCATCGCGTGTTCAATAACCTAGGCAAACTGGACATGATTCTTTTTCTTTGTGTCCAGGACTTTCAAGCCCCGAAAAGAGATGAACGAGGGGTGTCCATTCGCCACGCCCCGAAATCGGGGCCTCAGTGACACCGGACGACACCTTCCCCTTGCGCCTGCCATCGCCTGCCGATCGGCCAGGTGCGAAGAGGAGTGGCTCACGGGGAAGTTGGCGAACCTGTCAGCCGTGGAGGTTGAACAGGCGGTGGACGACAACTACAAGGAGCGCCCGGCACCCGCCGTCACCGGACTTTGCAGTGCCGACATCGGAGGACCAGTCGAACAGTTCAAATCAAACAGATCAGGGATTTTCTGGTGTGGAACACTCTGGTGTGGCATGCATTCTCTTTTGGCTTTGGAGATTTCCCCAACTCTTGGACTGCCAAAAACTGACTGGTGCTTCTCGTTGGGAATGAGGGAAGTTTCGCCCCCCAACAAAGATTCCTTTTGCCTCCAGCCACCCTCATTCCTCACATCCAGCCCTACATCCAGAGGCCGTCAGCACGCACGACCGTGCGTCCGAAGATGGTGACTCGGCGCAGGACTCCTACAAGGCCTTCAAGTCCTTCGAAGGGTCTCCGAACCCCCAGAAGGTGGCGCAGGAGCTTCGGAGCGCCGTCCAAGCCTTTAAGAAGAACATGCCCATCATTCAGGCGCATGTGGCAAGCGCAGCAAGCGCCATTCTGGGAGGGCGCCAGAGGGAGGGAGCCATGCTGGACCTGTTTTTTTTAGGTGGTTTTGGGAGTGTGGATCCGTGTGGCTAGTCGCCTTTTTAGGGTTGCCGGGTCCTTCTTTCGATTTGTTGGAGCCCTACAATGCTACAATGCAGAAGTTCAGGAGAACACCATGCACACCCAAAGCATGTCACATCATCATCGGATCATCCCGTTGGTTCCCATGGCCTCTCAGGGCCTGTGCCAACCTGCGATCAAAACCTCGCATTTGCTGCAGCTCTTCGAGGACGCCGTCCGTGACGTGACCAACGAGACGGGTCGACAGTATGACGCGAGTGCCGTGGGTCGACCGAGAAGAACGACGAATCGGTTTAGGAGAGGAAGGCGCAGCTCCAAGGAGTGGCAAAGGTCTGTAGAAACCACCATTTGGGATTGGTTCCATGCCGGACTGTATTGTGGAAGGTGTAGGAAGTATAGTCTATATACTGTAGGTGTCTATAGTGGATTTTGGAATTGGAAGACTGAGTGAATGATGGAGACAGATAGACCAGAGGTATGTTTGCTCATCAGAGGTTCGTTTGAGGTGGTTCTAGTAGGTTCAAACATGTCCCTCCCCTTCTTCACCCTTGGGTTGTTTTTGCCTTTGTCGCACAGGACATGGATGTCGACATCGACATGGAGGATGGCCTGACCTTGACCATGTGCCCTTCCCAGACCGATCTTTCACAGATAATGATGAGAAATCCCCAGTCGCGGCGCGTGCCTTGAACCACGCAACTTGAACGACCGTAGGTGCCTGGAGGCTGGTATGCTGGACCATGTGGAGAAGGCACCGGCTGAAACGAGCCACGTGTGTCTACCCTGGCGAGAGGTGGAACCTCACCAGTGAATTTGAATTGAAGCATGCTTCAAGCGCCCGTTGGTCCATAGTTTCACTATCCTATAATTTGGATCTTCCAAGAGGCTGAGGTGTAGAATGGCCTCTGAGAGCTGAGCATCTCTCAGAGAGAGACCCCCGTGGGCAGGTGGAGGCCATCAGCACCTCTGCACAGAAGCAGCATGGCTTGAAGGTGGGCCTCGGCGATGGTCGTGGAAGGAGTCAGAGGGCCATGGCCATCGGTGACAACCCGTGGCCCCAGGGTTGCCCTGGACCGGGGGGGCAGGATCGGAAGGACAGACTCGAGCTGGGGAACGTGATTGGGTCTCCCCGCGTGATTGGGGAAGTGAATTCAGACCATTGAAAGAACACCCGTTTGGGCTACTGACCTCAGGGTGGGATTTGTCCATGCTGAGCCGTTCTTGCTAGTGGCCCAGCTGCTGTGGAGGTGGCCCTGCAGACCATGAAGAACGAATGGAAAGCCATGGCGTCGGGGCCTGAGGCCATACTGCTGCCGTCGTGTCGGCCATGAAAGCGTCTTGGAACCATTTGTCCGGAACACTTCCGGGACCATGGCCTTGCAGTATACCCGGAAGAACGAACGCGAAAAACACCCTTTGTAAAGGACCATGGCCTTGCCGACTATCCAAGCTAGTGAGCTGGAGTGTATCCGAGTATCCAAAAAATCAGACCTGAAAAGAGAGAGAGAGAGAGCGCTGGAGATGTGACGTGGATGAGACAAAGGTGTCACTGCCATAGCTTGGCCAATCATATCGATCTGTGACGTTTGAGGTTCGGCACACTGCCCTACAAGAACACGGGCACCTTCTTGCTGAAAGGCCCGGGGGGGCGGGGCCAGGAGGCCCTGTGAAACCGAATGCGCGTGGCACCTAATGAAGCCCAATGAAATCTAATTACCAGACCCACCTGCGCCTACCTATCCCATCCTACCAAGGATCATTCTGGGTTTTATCAAATGTTTTATGTTTTTTTTTTTAAAAGTTTTTTTTAAATCAGAATCGCTGGCAGAGACGGGACATCGAAGGTTTCTGTTCCAAAGCGCCAGAAATGAGCTGCAATACGTTGGGCGCTTCCGTGCCCAAAGTATTGCAACACTTTAGAAAAATTGGACCCTGCCCAGTGCACTGCCCAGCAGTAAATCCAAAAAGTCTCAAACCTAAAAAGACCTGCACAGCAAATCCGAACCCCACGTAGATCCGAGAATGCTACTGGGTACGGAGGTGAAGCTGCCCGTTGTGGAAGCCTAAAAGTGAGTTGTGCTCAGAGTGCTGCCTGGTGATACCCGGTGGCGATGAATAGGGCCGTGCACACATAAGACCTGTTTTTGCATAGTGAGGCCCCAACACCTTCAAAACTGTTCGAATTCTGGTTTTGGAGTTGGACTTCCAATGAGCCCGGCCCGACTTGGTGTCCCAAAACGTTCCAAGAAGCCATCAATTGCATTCATTTATGCATATATACATACAATATTGACACTACTATTCCTAAAAAGAACACTGATGGCGGGGAAAATGTGTTTGACCCCACTTGGGCGTCCATGGTGCGTCTCTCGTGTTTCCTCGCGTGTTTCACGTGAGGAGCTGATGACGTCCAAGCACTGCTGGATGATCACATCATCAAGACACAGGCAGCCTGGACCATCCAAGGGGTCCAGCCAAAGAAGTCCCAGCCAGGACAGACCCTGTAGTAGGCCAGAGACTTCCTCCCCACTTGATTCTCCCCCGGTCAAGACGCGTGATATCGATTTGCAATGACTTTCTCAGTGTTTTTTTTTATTCGACCTTATATAGGCTCTCACAAATGTTGCTTCAAGTGTTCCTTGTGCCAAAAGAAGTTCAGTTGACCCTATCTTCTACCCACAATCCTCTTCTCCCCAGTGCCAACGAACCCATACTGATACTATATAACCATTACTAACCCTCCAGTATTCTTTCCGTAGACCCGTTGACGAATATAAACATATACACACATATAGACAGATAGATAGATAGGATAGATTTAATACATGTCGTTAAAGGAGAGGAGGGATGACTCCTTGTGGATGACTCCACATGACATCATCATTCATGTCATGAGACACGTGTGCCTTGCCCCATCTCGCATGGTCGGTGGTTTCAGGCAGTTCGAGGCTCACCCTTCGTGAAGCCCATCGAGAAGGAGGTGAAGGCCACACCGGAGATAGAGTGTGAGCAGACCGGTTTGGCGGTGCATGGGCCCCGGGATGTACAGATATCAAGAATAAAGACTGGTGAGTAGACAGTCAAGGGTAGGTCATAGACACCCTGGTGGGAACTGAGTCGGACTTTTTGAGGCCAAATCCATCCTGAACCGTCCCTTTCTCATGGGTGGAATGCTACTGTGGGGGTTCAACCGTCCATCAACGGAAACATATCAACACATTTCTTTAAAAGAATATAATATATATATATAGCTTCTCTTTTGCCAAAAAGATGCGAACTGATACATAGCAATGAGGGCCAATGTCTTCAACATTTTCCAACTACCTCTGACATGATAGATCCGCTACCAGAGGGAGGGGCCCCTCCTTTTGATGATCCTGCCTCATTGAAGCGCCGTGTGACATGATGGAAGTTGTGATTCTCAGTCTTGCGTATGGGAAAAGGCAGAGCTATACATGCACCCTTATGAGTTTCAGATGCTCGCCAGCTTGAAGCCGAGCACGAAAATCAGCTAGAAAGACTGTTCAGGGCAGGTGGTGGTTTTGGTGCTCTGCCGCTGCAGGACTGGGAGGCCAAGCTTATTTACATTCAGGAGACCCGCTGAATGTGTGGCGCGGCCTTCCAAAAGACATCGTATCGCTTGTTGAGTGAAGCGTTTTGCGTCAGATTTGTCGGGTCGTTTCGCTGGCTTGAGGATGCTTGAGGCACGTTCTTATCCATTCGGATGGATATGTGGGGGAATTTCCAGCGACGCACTGAAATACAGCCGAACCAGGCTTGAAGCCAAGCACCTGACAGGTGTATATAATTACTGTAATGGGCAATGGACTTGCTGGGATGACCTCTGTTTTTGTGCGGCTTTTGGGGTCATGGGGTATGCAGGATCTGCTGGAGCAGTGGCTGATGGTGCAGAGGAGTGGTGGGCATCGGTGGTGCCCTCGTGGGCATCGGAACCGAGACGGTCGTGAGTGGTTCTTTATGGTTCTTCATCGAAGACGTTTGCGAAGATCAATGTGACATTTTGAAGTCATAGATGGGTAAATCAATATGGAAGTCACACATGGGGGTGTGAAGGTGGCGACGTTGGCTAGCAGGGTATGTCTTAAATGACGGTCATGGGATCGAGTTTGGGCTCTGGGACAGCATCCGAAATCTCTAGCAAGGGGTGCCCTGTCTGGAAGCCTATAGGTAGTGTGGGGTAGTCCATTGGACACCCCTTGGATGGCCCTGGTAGCTACAGTATCAACCTCTCCCATCGATTCAGCGAAATATCCACGGAGCGCGATGGCCCCACTGGGGGCTGAAGCCCGCCAGAGCCCCCCCAAAGAAAGCTCCTCCGTTCCGCTTGGGGCGACCTAGGGCCGGATCCTTTGTCTGGCCCATGGATGGCCTTGTTACATCCTTTTTTTTCTAGTGGTTGATTTATAGAAGGGATGCCCGCCATGCAGTGAACAACCACTACATCATATATATATATATATACATGGCACCATAATCGACCCTTCGCTTTTCCCCCCCATTGGTACGGTCTCAGACCTCGCGCGCTGAAACAGGACCTGGCTCTACCTGGAGCCGATCTTCAGCTCCGAGGATATCGCCCCCCCGGCCAGAAGAACGAGGAAGGAGCTTGGGAGGTGTGGCAAGAAGCACCTGGTGGCACATGCAGTGGCACAGGCATATTTTTTTGGGGAAGCGTCTTGCGAGCACACTCCTGTAGACACGTGCCCATGCCTGGAGGAAGGACTTTTTCTAGGCCTTCTAGGCCACGAGTCTGTGAACCACTTCTCCGACTCGACGGGACTCGGTCCAGTGACCGTCTGCCTCAGGTCCGCCAGATGCCTGACGAAGCCAAGAAGTTCCAGGCCGTGGACAAGCAGAGACCTCAGGATGCACCGGGCATGTCTAGTGACTGCCGAGCCCATGAGGTCATCCAGGTGATTAGAAAAATACCAGGAGATCGAAAGGAAGGGCTCTTGGAGGGAGGGGTGCCCATGATCCACTCACTGGATGGACAGAAGACCATTCCTTTGGAACTGCTGGCGCAAACGTGCACGGACATATACGAATATTTGTACATGATGTCATATGTACACAATATACTTATGAGTCTTATGAGGCAACTCCATAGTCGGGCACATGGCAACGCCAGAGCTCGCTGGAGGTTGGTGACATGTTTTGCCCAGTGGAACCAAAGGAGGAGATTCCAAAGACACACTCTGAGTCGTCTCCACATACTTGGACTGTTGAAGCCCCCCCACCTTGGCCAGCCCTACAGCTGGAGATACATTAGATGGACATAGTGACATGCATGTCACATCCGTTCATATTTGTTCATATCTTCATATCTACATACCCTGGCAGTGGCTCGAAAGCTTCCAGGGAAATATGATCATATGCACCGACTGAGGTTGTGGCGTGACACAATGAATTCGGTCGATGAGAACCCCTTGGCCGGGGACATAGCCTCACTGATTGGAGCAGGTCATTGCAATGATCAAATATTGTTTCGCCAGACGGGTGCATGTTTTGGGACTCTCATGGACTTTGAGAGTATCTCAAGAAGTTCGGCAGTTGGGCACAATGAGTTTTGACCATCATTTCAGGGGAGGCTCTCATCAGCGGAAGTCCAAACACTACCTCCCTCAAAACACTGGGCAGGAGTGCTCTCCAGCCATGGAGCTTCCCTTCAAATATGGCCATCGCAACAGACAATCACATCTTGAAGCAAGGTTCTTGAAGAACGGGGAGGGTGTCGAACCCCTTATAAGCATTTCAATCAATCCACTAGATTCTAATATATCCGAATGATCAAGAAGGGGGCAGCCCCCTTCTCTTCTTGTGCCGAACTTCAAACGGCTAGTAGGACCCCCGGAGAGGTCCTGGACGTCTCGGAGATCGAGAACCTCCTACTGCACTTCTCAGACGCCAACAAGAAGTGCGCCAGAAAGGAAATGTGGGGAGTCGGGAAGGAGAGGATTTGGTAGAAATGGATTGGATATGATTGGATTGCTTTCTCTTGAGAGCTCAAGAGATCGAAGCCAGTGTTAAACTGTTACGCAGTGTTTCAGGGCCGGGCAAGCGCCGAATTGAGGTTGGATCAGATTCAGAAGTGTCTCAACGACTATTTGGAAACCAAGCGCTTGGCATTCCCGCGCTTCTTCTTCTTGCCTCTTAGCCAATGTCAGAGTGTGTGCTTAGGGTGTTTGTGCGTGTGCGTGTGCGGGGCAGAGTTGATCGTTTGCAAAGCATGACATTCATCTCACTATTCGTGTGGAAAGGCGGAAGAAGACGAGGTGAGCACTTGGCACTTGGGGCAGATTGAACATTTTGGATGTGTGCGTGTGTGTGCGTCCGCTTTTGAGGTCGAATGATGAGCTGTTGATGATTTTGTCGCAGACAAAGGCCGGAGAGCAGAACACCACATGTTGGAATGTTTGCTACATGGTTTTGGAAGAGAATCGACATCCAACTGACCCCTCTGGGTGCCGATTGAAAGCAGAGATGAGATGAAAACCATCCGTTCGGAAGGAGCGAGGACTGGGCAACGATCCACCCATGGAATCCATCATGATGTAGCAAACCCTTGTCCTCTCTAGTCAGATGCCTCAGCTCTATCAAACCACTCGCAAACTAACCTGCCTCGGAGGTGTGACCAAAAGTAGTCCAATTCAGCCCATCCTCAAGCTTTCGGCAATTTCAATTTAGTTCTGGAGTTGTTTCCCACTTTCGGAAGAAGAAAATGAGGAGTGTCCGGCCGACTGTTCGGCACGCCAGGACCCAACGGCCGTGCAGCCACACATGGGGAAGTGCTTCGAAGGCACGATCTGGCTGAGGAGGAGGAGGTCGCATCAGGATGTGACAAGAGATATTAAATTCAATTCACAAGCTTTTATAAGAGGTTTCATCAAAAACAGCGAGAGTTGGGAAGGCATTTGTTGCATGTGGGCACCGGGGCGTCTTCACCTCCGCCTTGCGGAGTTGAACGCGTTTTCCATCGGTATTTTTGCTCTTTTTTCTCAGCGATCCTGGCCATTCATCTCATTCTCCTCTTCTCTTTGTTGTTTTTAAATCTTAAATGTTTTTAACACCACGAGGTCGCAAGACATCACTGGGTGCAAAGCCGCCGTGCCAGGCATCAACAAGGTGCGCTTCGATCAAAACGATGAGATCATCGAGGCCATGCTCTCGGTGGAAGGCGAAGTGGTCGAGCTCGTGCATCAGGCGCTGTGAACTGTGAAGGGTGGGCGGTGGGTGTTGCGAATCCAGAGTGATGGCATGGGCGAATCCAAGACACTCAGAGGCTCACAGGAATCTAAGACGATTTAAGATAGCCGCGATAGCCAAAAGATGCCAAAAGGAATCGAATCCCAATACACTGGAGTTCTTTGGATTTAGACCGATGTAGGATTTAGGTGTTATGTTCGATACGTTTGACCTTTCTTGCTATTGGATGTGCTCTTGGGCATGCAGTCCGTGCAGATGTCTCTCTTAGACCGTCAACCGATGGCTTGGGTGCGGCAGGTGAACGTGAACGAAGGCGACAAGAAAGGCAACGTCGAGCGATGGCTCTTGGAAGTACAAGACTCCATGATCAAGACCTTGACCAAGGCAATCGTGGTTTCTGGGTACGCTGCGTAGACCAATTCTGACGCGTAAGACGTTGCCAAACAGGAAGATGTTGCCCGCACCTGGTAGGGCATCAATCCAGTTCCACGGAGGTGGTGGATTTCAAGATTAATGATAGATAAGCCGGGGCGTTCATTTGTTTCTCCGCAGGGAGGGGGCAGACAGAGGGGGGACATCTCAATCTTTTTTGATCAGAGCCACACAGCGCACGTTCCACTCACCTTGCTCATTTTGAGCGATCCTGTGCATCGCCTTGAAAACCCCACAATTGATCCATATAGAACCTCTCTCATTTGTGAGACAGGAGGCTTTACTTCACCACCTTCACACTTTAATACACTTTATGGATAGCATTTTGCATCAAGGAACCATATTTGGAGGAAGCAGGTCCGGACAGTCGCCCTGCGGGTCCCAGCCCATGGTCTAAAGTTCAGAAAGCCTGTCCGAGAAAGCTGTCTCCACAAAGGCCTTTCTTCCAAATTAGTCCAAGTATATAACTGATTGAGGAGCCAAAGCATAGCAGCAAATTGCTTCGGAGTGCTCCATGAACGTTTTGAAGAACTGACTCTAGCAGCTCTAGCAGGCTTTAAAGTAGATTGAGCCATTACAGCCAAGGAGCATTTTCAAGTAGTTGGTTCCAAGTCATTGGATTCCAGGTCGATCAATCCGTGTCGTGCTTCGATGATTATATTGAAGAACCGTTTCCAAGGTCTGATCTAGTGATACAGGATTCCAGCATGATACTTGCATATAGTATATACAATATCATATACAGTAGTTTCTTTTTCAGATATATAGTATGAAGAACGCAGATGTCTCTTTACAAAGAAAAGAGTCGAAGTTCCCTCGATCTCGCCAGATCATGGGCGATTCCGTGCGCGCCTACGCGGAGACCTCCCGTGGCCAGTGGGTCCTGGAGTGGCCAGGGCAGGTGGTCATCGCTGCTGGGGCCTCGGTCAACGCTGAGCGCAAAGCAGGCATGATCTTGCGGCCTAGTGGGCTTCAGATGTTAGAGGAATGGGTGAATGGGGATTTTCATGGGGAACATCTACAGGAAACTCAGTTTTGGGGGTGAAGCCAGTGTCCCGCAGATTTTCCCAATCCATCAAAATGGAAACATCACGGACCCCAATTGAACATTTGGAGGGTCATTGTGTCCACCTTGTCTCGGATGGTGCTGACTTTGCTTTGAAGAAAATCCATGAGTCATGATTCATTGGTGTTTTCTTTGGGCCTGGGGGGGTTCAAGTGTAGAACACATGTGTGAACCACCGTCAACTGGGTGGGCAAAATGTCTTGGCCTTAGCGATGGGCACAATGTCGAGGTGGACAACATCTACTGGACTCAAGAAGTGGCTGAAGCCATTGAGAAGGGCAAGCTTGAAGACTACTACCAGGTGGGTCCAACGTGTTCATGGGTCGCAGATCAACGAGAGGGGAGAGGGAGCAATTCAGATTGCTTTTTCTCGGTGTCCAAACAACTGGTCTCTCCTTTACAGTCACTCCTTTGACCTCTATGTTTTTGACACGGACGACAACGCAGTACTGCAGAGCTTCTAGTGCAACTGTGCTTATGGCAATCCCAAGCAGGCCAATGTGAAAGTAATTAATGCTTTGGTTCTCGCGTTGGTCAACCGAAAAGAACAGCCACACACCTTCGACCTGGGGAATGCTGCCACACAAAGAAGCTTTTGCGGACGCGCGTCGGATTGTCGGAAAGAGATATCGACATGTCGCTTCCGTGGCACTCTGATAAATGATCTGTGCGTCTTAATATGTCTTAACCTTCCACCTCCGGCCCAGTCCCTAAAAACGGATCTAGACCACCTTCAAAACGGACCACATTATTCAGCAATCCCCTGGGCCAGTTTAGAAGGCCCACGATCCGATGGCCCTGCAGGGCGCATGGTAATCAGGTGCGTGAAGTAGACCCATGAGGAGCTTCTGCATATCGACCCATCTGATGGCCCCGCTTGACAGACCAGGGCCATCTTACAAGATCCGGGCCATTCGGTTCAGCCGCACCGGTCAGGCCACGGGTTTCGGCTTCGGGGAGTGGTGCGCCCGCCAGGTCTGCGCATCTCAGTTGCACGATCTGGTGGAATTGGTGCGTGGAGAGCTCTCCAAATTGGCACGCCGAACGCTCACAGCACCTTGGGCCTAAGTCTCGGAGCTGACACAGTGCTGGGTCTAGTGATAAAAGTGGTTGGAATGATGTGATAGGGCGCGTCTTCCAAACTGGCTAGGTTTAACCAGAAACTCTGGCCTCCCATGAGCAAAACACCATGGGCAACCTACCCCCCAAGCAAGGGCGACTAGGCGCCCTTGTTCATCCTCATTCTCCGACCAGACTTTTCCATCCTCCGATCTGGGAAGACAACAGTGATCAACAGCAGTTGCGTATTTAATATAGTATATTGATGTGCATTGTGTCAAAGAGGAAGTACGGCGCTCGCCCTCTTCAGAGCATACCATTGTGTCAAAGGGCACTTTGCACGAGAACCATGTTTTGTGTGGAGGCCATTCCTGTTATATAGCAACAAGAAGCTACTAGTAGCAAGAAGCTAGTTGGTTGGAGGCCATCGCTATTCTGATGTTTTTTTTGCATGATGGTGTGAATGGGAGGGTAGTCCATGATAGCCTGCGTGGTCGATGTTTTCCGGGCGCTCTTCTTGGTGCGGCAGACACCCAGACCAGGCAGACACCCATAGACCATCATAGTGGTCCCCAAATCGATAGGAACAGTTTCCAATACAGCAATTTTTGATATTTTTGCTTTTCTATTGGGGTCTATATGGATGCCATAGATCTTGGAACGAGGCCATGGTCACGATCGATGTGCACAATCGGGACGTGGTGGGCAGTTTGCGTGATGCCAAGATCAGCTCTGCGAAGGACAGCATGGTGTTCGCAAAATTTTCTTGATTGGACCCATGTACGCAATGGGAACATGGAGTCAAGCATTATAGATGGCATAGACATTATCATAAGTCATAATTACCTTTGTGTAGGTATGGGTGTCCAGTGTAGGGTTGTCGTGTCATTCTGAATTGAGACATTGGAACATATTGGAACTATCTGGAACTCAATTAATCCTACACAAGAAAGGACTGTGCTATTTTTTTGATGTTAGTCTTGTTCTCAATACTTGATTCTTGATGTATGATGTCAAAGACAGGACTTTGATTGGATGGCACAACTCCGCTACTACTGGGTGGAGAGCCAAGTTTGGGAGCGAGAATGCGGGAGGGCCGATTCATGTGAACACGGCGTGCAGTGGCGTTTTGGGGGGGGCACACCAAATGATTTCAGTAGAGAACATTTTGCATATTATAAGAAAACCCGAGTTTTTGGAGATTCGAGCTAGGGTTATGGTCTACATCTTCAGCTTGCAGTGATGCAAACTACTTGAGGCCCCAACCGGATCCATCATCATGTACGAGACGCAAAAGCTGTGGCCTCAGAGTCAACTTTTCAGGGCTTCAGGCGATCCAACAGGTAGACTCCAAGCAGGATTCCAGAGTGGTTCTTGCCAGCTCTCCGGTGACGAAGACTCTCATGTCTTGAGGCCCAGCACGACCGACAACTGTCAAGTGTCCATCATCAATGTCATGAGCTCAGCATAACGAACTGGACTTGTTGGTTTGTTTGACAAGTTCTTGGCGCACCGGACAGACACCGGAGCATGATTTTCGGCCTGGAGCATCGCATGAAAGCCACAATCACTTCTGTATTTGACCTTTTGGGATTGGCATGGATTGGCATAGTCCAGGTAGTTCGGCGAATCCATCGATATTGACAGATCCAAGCCTCTCATGATCCAAGAGAATCACTTCTTCAATGAATCTTGCAAAGCACGCCCAAGCCGGGCAACCGATGGCGATGGAACGTCTTTGTTTGGAAGATCCAGTCTGACACAGCCGGGCTCAGCCATAGAATTTTGCTTTGGGCTCTGGGAGTGCCAAGGCCACTCTCCTCTACGGCTTTGAGTACTTGGGCAACAGTGATCGGCTGGTGGTCACGCCACTGACGGACAGGCAGGACCGCAGGACTGCAGACGGAGGGTACAAATAATAGTTTTCTTTTGTTTTTTTTGAATGTATCTTTCCTTAATCAATTTGTAAACAAAAACATGTTTTTAAAGAATATATGTATACACTTCCACAACCACCCCCGTCCCCAAAAAGAAGCCACGAAGCAATCTGCTCGTGCTTGCACGATTTCCAGCCACCCAGCTGTCCACCTAGGTCCACCTATATATCCAAACATGGCCTACTGATTCTCACCTCTTCCAGGTGCTACCGGACCCTCATGGGAGCCTTCCACCTCTTCTACGGCGGAGCACCCGAGGGACCCGCCGGTCCGGGGGTCCCAGGGGAGAACGTAGACCTGGGAGTCCCTGGGGTCGCATCAACAAAGAACAGACTTTAATATCACCATATAGATCTATATAGTGATCTAGGACTAGTGACTTAGGAGTAGTGGGCCACAACGACTATGTCACTGGCCCACACAAGTCCTAAGTCACCGGTCGGTAGTAGAGTTATTGGTTATATGACTTTTATATGACCCAGCGCTTCGGTTCGGCCTCTTCAAATTAGATGGCAAAGCGAAACATCTTGGACTTGTGACTAATTATCGGTGACTTGTGGATCGGCTGAGGCTCCTTTAGGACCTTATCACACAACCATATGCAGGACAGCCAGGATGTTTTTTTTCTCTCAAGTTCTGTCTAGCTAAGGCTTTTTGTTGTCCTTTGGACATTGAAGAATGATGATGGACCACGTTATCCCTGTGAGCAAACCCACCACCTTCCCATGTAATTAGGCGGAGATGCCTCTCTCGAGGCTAGGCTGCGGGTAATTTCTCAATTTATCTAGATATCTATATATATATATTATATACATACTACTGGTCGGAGTCCCATGTCACGGGACTGTCACGCCGTTTGCGATCTCAACTCCAAATTGTTGTGACATACTCTAAGAAACCCACGATGCATCACAGCATCCACTGTTTGATCGTCAAATTAGATGGACACACCAAGCCCACTTAGTCCGGGTTCAACGACTCCAACCGTGCTACACCGGCGACGGGGTGACTCTTCGTGGCCAACCGTGCTACCCCAAGGCACAGGCAAGACCGAGTCCACCAAGGACCGAGGTAGTTTTTTTCTCGCATGCCCCAACATGAAGCAACCAATGAGATAGACTGGGTGAGTCTTGGGTCAAACTATATTCAAACTATATACTATGTCAAAACCCATGAGATGCAATGGGTTTCGTCCAGTGTCCAGAGCCATTCGGAGCCACTTGTTGATGGCTCACATCCATTCCAAGCTGCTAATGACGATACAGTATATGACAATGAATTCAGCACAGACGACTCATTTTTGTCATCTTCCCTTTAGTGCTGTCAAGCCACGCCGCCATGCCCTTGCAGAAGGAAAGCTTTTGACCATGCTCGGCAATCAGTAAAGCATGTCATCTACCAATGTACCAGGACTTGGCCAAGGCCATGTCGGTTCAATGCGTCTCTCAGCTGCAAATTTGAGTTTTTCATAATGAAACGCTTCGCACCGAAGAGAGTCGGGAGCTGCTCAAGATGGGTTTGCAGAACTCATCCCCACTTTTCTTTTTCGGGGGGGACGTTTGCGTAGTAGGCGTGCCAGAATCGCCCAGCCACAGGGATTCTTTTCTTTTTCGGGTGCTGTGTTTGGACACCTTTCGGGTTGCCAGTCAGTGACATATGTTTCGTGTAAATTTATGATTTGGCCTGCGTGTCTCGTTTAGGTGGTCTTCAACTGCTCCGATGGCCTGGATTACTTGGCCATGGGCAAATTCTTCAAAGGCCACGAGCTGGCCATGACACTGATATTGGAAGACAATACGTAAGATATCGTAAGATTCAGGTTGGATTTTATGAGATCATGTTTGATCTTAAGAATTTAAGACACATGAATAGCATTGGAGGATGTAGACTTAGGAAACTTTGACTATCTTTGGCTCATAACGCCGCCATAGGTTTCTTCCCCTCGATCGCTGTCTCAAACAGGTTTGGCTTCGTCTGGGGCATGGTGCTGCTTCGATGAGCACGGAGCTCGGGTGTGCCATTGATGTGATTCACCATGATTCTTGGGACATGCGAGGAAAGGATGCACCTTTGCGAGATAGTTCTGCAGTTCTGCTTCTACAAGACCTGTGATTGGTACAACCCTATAGATCGCCTAACTTAGCAGCGCAGCCCCCCAAGGCCCCAGATCAGATGCCCAGGTCTCATTGAATTCCTTCAGGGCAACGCAGCCCATGAGCCCAACCCAAGAAGACTGCCTTCTACAAGCAGGGGGTTTCATTTGCCCGGCTGAGGTATCTTACTCAAACCATTTATGGTGGTATGTGCCGTTTTGATTCATTTCCCCATGGGGAATTTGCGAGCCCACTTCACTTCTGCAATGGTTGGAGGGTCGCTTGTTCTCCCAGGTTCAACCGAATCGACTTGGAAGTCTTGTCCGTGATTGCACAACAGGTCTATAGGGCTTGGGTGCGTGAGGATGTGACATGCGCAGCAAACATGGAACACATGATGAAACACCTGCAGCTGAGATCGAAAGAAGCGACATGAAGCGACCCACTTGAAGCTACATCCAGCTCCACCCTGACATGGGTGCGAGAGTCGCGCCAGGTGGCATGCATCCAAGAGGCGATTCGGATGAAGAAGGCCCGGAGAAGGGAAGCACAAGAAGTCGAGCGGCTTTGATCAGCTACACACCACATCCACCGGTTGTATCAGGAGATTGGCCATTGTAGCATTCTCGATTGGGGCCAACCAGTGCTTGGGAAATTGTTTGACACAAAGTTCGGTTGATTTGACTATATAGTTATATATTTGATTGTTGATATGTCTTGTACGCGTCTTCTTGGAACCAAACCATGAAAACGCCTAACCTATATGGAAGAAAACGCCTACCCCTCTGTTCCGAAGGGGAGTCGTGCGCTTACGCGTTCCTCTTGACACGACTCGTCTGACGACTTCTGCCAGCGCCGCTTCATCTTTGAAGAGACCGAGTTGGAGTTGATCCCCACCTGCGCGGTCAACATCACCATGTCGGATCTCTTGGAGAGTTGGATCTGTCCGGGAAAAAAACAAAACACGTCGGAATTCTCGTCGGTTTTCTTCCGCCTTTGTGAAAAGATGCGACGTAGAGGACGGCTGTCTGACAGGAAGATGCAGTTTGCAAAGGTATCAATTGGATATAACATGATATGACGTGTAACGTGTTGCAGATGAATGACAGATTGTCAGTCGACCCGATGACAGCAGATGATGTCGTGCTTTCCATTAACTCTTTCATCTACGACCAGGAACCCTGGCTATGCTGGCCGCTCTGAGCTGCCGGACAACCTGAAGGACGGAACTTGAAAGGTCCTCAGGATCCGAGGACCTTGGCTCATCCCCTGGTCTATTTACTTATTGGGACCCACTATAGGACCCACTAGGTGCATCCCTTCTATCCACATCAAAGGATTCAGAACAGAACTTTGCGGGTCACCGAGTGGATACTCACTTGGTCAAATCACTCTAAGTTAATAGTATCCATCCACAATGAGCTCCACAAGTGAACTCGCAGTGCTCTAAGTCCATAACAAGTTCCTCTCTTGAACTTCGAACTCACCGCCAGGCCTTGTTCCGCCCTTGCGTCCGAGCCTCGAGCCTTGTGATGGTCACCGACACCGGGGCATCAAAACGACACCGCGGAGGGATCGGAGGGATCGGAGGGACCGGAGGGATCGACAATCGAGGCCATGATGGTGCCGGATTATGCATTGATTGGAGAGATCGTGCTCTACTCTGCGTGGAGCCTTAGCTTTGTCTTTCGGACGTGTGGGGGGGCCCAGAATCGGGACGCGGCGTTTAATAGACTTGTTTGTGCTAGTGGAATGCGAAGAAACCAGAAGCTTGCAGATTCCTTGTGTGATGAAGATGGGAATCTACAATGACATACTTGCAGAGGAAAGAGCAAGGACTGTTTTGATTTGATGAGTTCGTTGGACCGGTTGGACCTGACTCCTTGAGTGTCCCATGAGCTGAGAGATTCATGCTGCCGGCCCAACAACTCTCCTAAAGGATAGAGACATGTTTTGGTGTTGCCGGCTTGCGCTCAAAAATTAGCATAACGTGGACAAACTACCTCTGAGCTCATTATACTTAGACTTATGATACTCATTGTTGTTATCTCGCGGGCTCTGCTCCACGTATCGGCCATTCTCCAACGGGGTCTGCATGATGAGTATGGGGTGCCCGTCACTCGCATCATCTCACATCTATGCGAATTCTTGGGACGTGTGCATCCCCTCAAGACTATGGCACCAAATGCAAATTGGGCATCAACAAGGATTTCCCAGAACAAGTCTCGCGTGGGGATTGCTCCTGACGCCGAACACTTGTGCTGGAATTTGGCATCTTCACAGCCGCATGCATACACACAGATAGATTAGATTAGATTTAGAAACATATAGATTATAGATTAGATTAGATTATAATTATATAGATTAGATTAGATAGATAAGTAGATATATAGATGGACAGACCGACCGACCGACAGATAGATATATAGATAAGTATATAGATTTCTAATTAGAGTTATATAGATATTTTGCGTTCGGCCTTCCCCCCCACAAACAAGAAACCCGTCGCGCCACACGTCAGCGAGGTGGGCTTCGGCAACGCCAAGCCCCTGGCGGCCAAAGCGGTGGCCTCGTTGCGCTTGGGATCCGAGCAGCTCTCGTCACAGGTGCGAGATCCGCAGCACGCGCAGTCCGATGACGTCGGGCTTCGTGGGCGTCGTGCAGAAAGAATTGGTTTGAAAGGCCCGGTTTCAAACATGTGCATGTTCACGTCATTTCACCCCAAGTTAGGCTTAGATTCTTCAGGCAATTCGTAGTTCATGTCTGCCGACCAATGGTTTCTGCTTCAGAGAAACTGGTACATAGCACTCACATCCGACAGCTGATAGGAAAGCCATATGTCCCAATCTGAGAGTGCAGGACCACTACGACTTTGGCATGCGTGCGCTGAAGCCAGGAACCCAGGGTTTGAGAACCTGATGTGTGAGGGGTTTGCTGCGCAACAGATCACGCGGAGCATTTGCTGCCGGGTCCGGTGGAGTGGTCAAGAAGCTGAGACCACTGCTGCTTCTAACTTGATTCCCTTTCCATCCAGGTCAATTTTGGTGGCTGCGGGACAACTGCGAAAGAAGCCAGGGAGCCTAAACGAAAAGAAGTGCTGGAACGATTTTGGAAGTTGCATGATGCACAAAAATGGCATTTCAATAGCGCAGCATTTCACCTTCACGGAGCTATATATAATTATAGACAGATTCAAGAAACAGTTTCCGGTTTCCTGACTGGATCGCCTCCCAAGGGTGGGTATAGCTCACTCATAGATGCCGATTCCTCCAGGTTTGGGAGCAGCCGTGCAGAGGACATTTTGATGCTCTCAGCGCTCAACGTTTGTATCTCAGATCGTTGATGCCTGCGCTCAATTTCAGACCGATGCGACTACACGGAGGACATGCAAAGCATTGCAAAGCAATTGCCGCTTCATAGACAGGGATCGGCCACCAAAGAACATCCAAACAACCATTGTTTGACCGAGGCCTTTAGACTACAACAACAAGTCTTCCATGTTTTCTTCCTCATGCTTATCCAATTTTTGTGGGATGGTCTTTCAAAGCCGACTGGGATACCCCTGAACTCGAGGATGTGAACCTGCCCAAGTTCACCTCCAACGTGCCTTGGTTGCGGATGGCGGCGCGGTCCACGCTGTGGCGTTGTTTCTCACGAAGGGAAACGGGTGAAAGGGGTGAAATATGGTGAAAAAGAGGGCCACCAAGGAGAGATAGAAGGGGAGAAGTGAAAATTGCAATGTTGTCGTTTTTAAAAGAATCATCCTCCAGCCGGTTTAGATGAAGTTCGGTGCGTCTTTGAGACTCAAACCTTGAGGACATCCCTCTCTTCTTGGGCATCACTGGCGATTTGTTCCCAGGAACCAAGTCTGAGCCTTAGAGATCGCGACGTCGACGTCCTGTTCAGTCAAAGAGTTTGAGCACGAGAGTGGTCCTCACTGGCAGAGAGTGGGATGTGAGGCGAATAGCGGTTTTCTGCGATGGACATCGTTCAAGACCGGTTCCCCTGACTGACACACATACAGAGCAGCTCCAGTTTGAAGAACAGGTGGTTGCGTAGAATCCTTGGCTCCATTGATGCCCTAAAAATCCTCCGACTCGCCTCGCTTTGCGCACAGAGATTGAGTCCAAAGAGCTATTCAGAAGTTTTTCCAGATGAGTTGAGAGAGAGAGAGAGTGCCCAGACTCATGCTCCTGAGCTTTTTGACTTCGTGGCTGCGCGACTTGCCGCACCGGCTCGTGGGCTCGGCGAGGCTACCACCGTCCGACTACGGCAAGCTGATCAACGAATTGGAAGGACGCCAAGCTGAAACGGCCCCCGCACCAGGTAGAAATTCAAACATTTCGAGAAGGGATGGGGATGAAGAGAAGGGCTTTCTGGAGGAAATCCACCATCCTTCACTTCCGCAAAATCGAATGCGACAGATCGAACGGACCCCATCGCGGCAGCACATCCGGACTGAGCGATGCGGGACCAGGAGCAGCTCGGGCGCGTCACCTGCAGCCGAAGGCCGTGCGTTGGGCCACAGGGAAGAGAGCGGCAGCGCGCTGACCTCGAAGGGGCTGGAGATGATGAACTTATGGGATGGGTGTAGGTGGGGGAGTTAGCCATCAACATTCGATGTTGGAGGTGCTGGTGGAAGATGGTGGCAGCATAGTGCGGGGTTATGAAGTTATATATATGATGAAGAAGCTCCGAAAAGAACCCATTCCAGATTCGAAGGCATTAGTTGATTGTAGGGATTCTGAGGGTTGATAATGCATTAAGAGTCAAACTGGCAGACAGTGTATAATAGGTGGGGCAGGTTATATCCTCCCAGATTCTGAACCTCCTGCTGAAAACTTGGATGTTGGTATGTTTCACTGATTATACTTCGATTACTTTCCATTTTGCTCCTGTTCTCACCAATGCCTCCCACCTAAACAGAAGAGATCCAACATGCAGCAAATCGGCGGGCTGTGGGAGGCGTCCTTCATTCACAAGTGCACACAGCTTTGGGAGACGATCATGGTCCGACACGGCTTGATGGTGGTTGGTGGGGGGGCCCTTGCGATCTGCGATGGGCAGACTTGACTTTCGCAAGCACTTTGCACACTTTGGTCCTGTGGTTTTGGCCAAATTTGTTTAAAGACTTGGCATAGCATTTCACGAAAGGTAGCTTGAGCTACCTGAGTTCTCCTTGCTTTAGCAAAAATGTATTACAATCAGGAGTTGGGATTGTGCATTGAGTTTGGTCCTGTAAGAGTTGATTCTGTTCGTCGGGGGGGGGGGGCCCCGTGGTGGGGAACTTTTAGACCAATGTGCCGCCAGGGCTCCTTAGCATACTTTTCATGCAAAACCATAAGACTCCCACAAACGACCAGCAAAGCAAATCGACCTAACAAAAAAGTAATTTGCACGAAACCATGACACACACACAAAGCAAAACAATGCTTCATATTTTTTTAAACCATGCATCATCAAAAAGTACATACAGACGCAAACTTGTGATTTTTTACCTTGAAATGTTAAAGTAAAAAACCACAAGTTTTGTAAAAGAACCTGGATAAAAAGGACAACATAGAACCAGACTCATCCTTACCAAAGCTCTCCCTGAAGGAAAAAAACATAGAAATCCTTTCTGCTAAATGGATACCGCTTCGTTTGATGTCTGTTTTTAAGCTGGTGACCTGGATTACCTGAACTTTGGATTACCTGAAACTTCACTTCACAATATGTTACAAACAGGCGATTTGTAAACTATTTTAGTAGCACCACAAACGTATTTAATGCGAATGCGGGGGCGAAAAACATTAGGTTTTACATTTCAGGAGAGGATAATACCTATTTGGATTTGAGTTCAGTAAGGTTGTTTGCAACTTTGCAAAATAACGATCGAACAAGACACCATTTCTTACGTCCATTAGGAGGCTTACATGCCTTTATTCAACGATACAGAGCAATAGTAGGAGGTCAAATGGATCGAAATATTGTTGAATACAATAGACACTGTGAGTTGTATGTTAGAGACATGGATGACATAGAGATGTCAGCTAACCCAAGATGGGACGCTGACTTTCATGACTATGCTACAGTAATGGTTTGGATGTATTATTGCAGGCTACTACTGCTGGTGTTACTCCAACCCCCGGTGTAGTAACTGTATCCCCTGACGGTGATAAAAATGAATGGGGTAGAATAGATAAAATATACAGTATACAAGACACTCATTGACAAGAATTTCCGGCGCTAATGGTAAAGCCCGATTCAGCCATAAGCCTGTTTGTGGGTTGATGCAATCAAATTATTATTTACCTTTGAGGTATGCGCCTTTGGAATTAGAATTCGCAATTGTTAATGATGAATTGGTACCTATTGTAGAACCACAAGGAGGCGCAGTAGGAAGCCCGAACACTCAAACTGACAAACAGGGGTATTACTTTCAAGCAGCTAACACTTCTACACAGTGGGAATTAAACAATGTTATTATCAGAGCTGAAGTAATGACTTTAGACAACACTGTTAATAACAACAACATAGTAAAACATTTGTTGGACGGTGAGTCACTAAAACTGGTCTTTCCTATGTATCACACACTAACACAAACCTTCAACACAGGAGGCGGTGAATTGGATATGAACATTGTTAAGTCATCATTCAAACTCACAGGAGCATTCAGTACTTTATACAGAACACCAGGAAATGGAACTATCAATGCTAACTATTTGCCAGACAACTATGTTCATAAGCGATGGAACTACTTTTACAATTCTCAAATTAACTCATTCATTTGGGACAATGGAGCAGTAGCAAATCCTCAAGACCAAGGCAAAGGTTTCCAAGACTATGGTAGAAACTTATAATGGCAAATCCAGTTAGGCAACAAAAAGTATCCAGAGTTTGAGGCACAATCATTATCATGCAGAAACCTTCTACTATTTGCGAGGAGCCATACATTACATGAACCCGGACCAAGATGCATTGATTTTCAGTTACAGGCAATACAGAGAAAACACATTTATTATTGGTATGTCATTTGAAAAGATGGCTGACGTCAACTTTACTGGAGTTAACACAAAAATGGGTAGTTTAATGACTATGAAAATCCGCCCTACTGAAGGAACTCTAAACACTACACCCGGTGATAGCACTAACGCAATTTATGCTGAAGACATTCAAGAGGTTTTTACCCACCTTATTAGTGCAAGCGTGTTAGAAATTTGCGAACGCGGGTGTGTGGTATACGATTAAAATAATAAGTCTACATTATTAATACATTTGTCTAAAACAAAATATATTAATAATGTTTAAGTATCATAAACACAACAACAAAACAGGCACTAAAGCACATCTTCACAAATTTTTAATAATTTTTAGTTCATTTGATATGAGAGATACAAGTTATCTGGAGCATTTACACAAGGAACTTAAGTTAAGAAATGCAAGAGAGGGCATGGTAGCATTAAGAAAGGACATGATACAAGCAAATGCTAGGTCAAAGTATCAAAATGAACTGGACAGGTTGAGAGGTGAAGTCCAAAGAGACAACCTACCGCACAACACAAAAGAACACAGCATTAAGCAACCTAAAGGCCTATTTTTTTGCATAAATATATTAACATGTTTACCTAACATATTAATATATGGCAACTATGGCATTGGAAATGATAAATCCTTATTCAAAATATGAATTGAAGAGGCGACCAACATATGATGAAATAGCAGGGTTGATAGGAGAAAATGAAACATTAACTGGAAGCCTTCCAGACAGAAGGGCTACATTTTTTAAAGCAAGTCCTGAAGGTAGCTTCTTTGATGGCATTTGAAGTATTGAAGGAACAAAAAAAACAGAATACAAGAGAGACAGATGAGAGAACTATTATTGAGACACAATTTAGGAGGTGGAACAGTTCATGTTGAAAGGATGAGGCAACAGAGTAGAGACACAACCCCAATAGAAGCAGAGACGCCAAGAGATGACAACGTTAATAATGCATCCATTCAAGCACAACTACAAGAAAGAGCCAGAATGGCACAGGAGAGAAAACAACAAGGACAAGCACACCAAAGTTTATTAAGTAGGAGCGCCACACCTGTTATTGATATGATATTTGGTGGATTGAGTAGAACAAGTAGCAGAGTAGGAACGCCAATGGCTCAACCGGTGCCACAATTAGCAATTGATTTAACACAAGACAACCAACGAGCAGAAGATGAAGTAGAAATGATGACAGCAAGGGAAGAACGCGAAGCCCCTGAACCCAAACAAGCAGTATTAAGAAGCATTAGCTATAGATTAAATGTAGGAACTATGAGCGCAGAAGCATTGAAATTTCAATTGTTTTTGAGAGGCTTTGATGTAGATGACCCAGAGAATGAACTACCAACAAGAGCAAAAGGCAAAGGAGGAGGCAAAACAACAAAGCAATATTATGTAGATGTTGATATGATGCAAACCGGTGTATGGCAAAGAAGAATTGAATCAGAACTATTGAAAAGCAAAATTAAAGAATACAGAAACAGACACAGCGCAAGGGGAAGTGAAATGGCATAATTAAGAATAGAATCTAATTATTATTAATCATGATTTTAGTACACAATAGACTGAAGAAATACATACAATAGATGATGATGAATACTTACATTATTTTTAAATAAGCCAACAGAAAGAAGAGAACGAAGTAATGAGATAGAATCTGAAGATGAGGCAACACAATTCCCAGAGATAGAGAACAAACAAACGCAAACCGATAAGAAAATTACGTTTGACAAAGAGACTGAAACAGTAGATAAATTAAACCGGATAATAGGAAACTATATTGTGAAGATGAGTTCAAAGAACTTCAAAAGTTTAGAGCCATCAAGTAGTGATTTTGAGCCATCAAGAAGTGATAAGATGGTAGAAGCTTTTACAAAAATGATTGAAAACCCTAGCAGTAGTAGCAGTGACAGTGAAGGCAATAGGTGATGTTTGACATAGAGGGAAATTAAAGATGGGTTTTAGATTGGCAGAAGTAGCAGGAAATACAGCTATGATGGGTGGCAGTGCTTTATTGTCAGCGATTGATTATTTGACACAAGCAGGGGAAAATTACAATGATAATGAAGAGGAAGTTATAAGCGTGCATTCTTCACCTGCAGTGAGTGTCCATAGTTCTCCACCACATTCAGTAGTAAATGTTTCATCAAGCAGTTCATCACACAATCCACCCATGGTAGCACATCCAACAGATTTACCAATACCTACATCATCAAGCTCATCAAGTAGAAGAAGTAGTAGCGCTTCTGCTTCTGGTTCAGCATATCCAACAAATAAAAATAACAAATAAGTTAATGTTTTTTAATAGTAAAATCATTTTGGAACCACCATCAGTATTTGCCTCGTTTCACTGTTGGTGACAGGTATCCTTTTTGGAACACCCCGTTCTTCTCTCTTCTTTTGTTGTCTGAGGCGGTCTTTGTCCCTCAACTTTTGTGCATATTCAGGGTCTTCTCTTCTCCTTTTCTTTTCGTAAAGCGCCTGATAGATTGACATCTGCACTTTAATTTCATCCAGTGTTAGGTCCGGTCTTCAATGTTTAATTAAGTAGTCATTATATCCTAATGTATATAGTTAATATGTCTTTATATATATTCCATGTTAACGATACTAAATAATAAATAGTTTATAACATTAAATGGTTTTTGTTTTAAAGCTTTAAGCTTATTATATATCAATATAAAGTATTATATGACAAAAAATATCTATAGAAAAAACATATTACCAGTTTAAGGAACATAAGAGACAGGAAAAGAGGCAGGGTTGACACTGCTACACGTCCAAAAATCAATACTGTTATTGACCTTTATGAGGACAGGAAGATTGTCCAACATGGCACTGCTGAAAAATTGATAAAAGGTGTCACTGCAACCAATGACAAGAACCTAAAGAAGGGAGTGAAAGCCTTTGACAAAGCAAGAAAAAATATGAAGATGCGGTACCAATAGGTGAAAGAGAGAAAGTAAAAAAGGCAACAGAACAGGCGGTAGTAGGAAGAACGAGGGCAGTAGTAAACA